ACTTCTCTCTCTCTCTCTCTCTCTCTCTCTCTCTCTCTCTCTCTCTCTCTCTCTCTCTCTCTTTCTGTATCATTTTCTTTTCCCCATTGGCATCATTGTTGTCGCTGTAATTTCTTTACAAAAAAAAGTTCCTATCTCGAATTTTATTTTACGACACCAATGACATCTTTCATCCTCATGCTCGTTCAAACCCTTCATTGTATTAATTCACGCTTATGCATTAGCCGAATGTTTTGCACGAATGTCGGATCGAGTAAATGCCAATGATCGATGTTTTCGTTCTTGTATGTTGTACACTCGTGAAAAATACGCCGATCGAATTGTCGTTTTCATCCGTTTTCCGATTTTTATAAAAGTGTCGCGAATAAATCGCGATCGACGATGAAAACGAACAGCATGATGTACGTGTTAAAAATTGCATACACGAAGCTTTTTTATTATTATCATTATTATCATTATCTATTTTTTTAACGTATTAATTTTTTTTTTTTTTTTTTTTTTTTTTTTTATGCTTTTCAGCCGTTCGACCAGCACAAAAATCACCCGCCGCAAAGATTGAAACCTTATATGTCGCAGTAAGTTGAAATATATATATATATAGTTTTTATTTATTTATTAATAGTAATTTCGATAATATTTCGATCGATTTTTTGATAAATTTGTCGACGAAATATCGCAAGAGAGATCGGAAAATTTGTAAAATTTGCAAATATTTGCAATTATTGATTAATAAATTAAAGATATTTGCCAAAAATTACGAATCATTATTTTGAAATTCTCCCCCTTCACAATACTTGTTGACAGCGCTCTCAAAGAGTCGGGATACGAGAGTGATTCGACGCTGGTGTTTCGTCGCAAGGAGGACATCAGTCCGTTGAGTCAGCTCGAGCAAAGATTGGCCTACAAAACGGTTCAAAGTGGTGGCGACGTGCCCCTTCATGGCCTTCGTAAACCAGCCCCAGAACGACCGAAGGGTGAGTGAATCCATTTCGAATTCCATTACGAAAAGTTATTCCTACATCTCTGTGAACACTTTTTCTTTTTTTTAATTTTTTCGATCGTTTGAATTTTGATCTTTGAACAGGCATGCGTGCATAAGATCGATCGATTGCGTTTCGTTTTTTTTTTTCCATATCACGTTTGATAATATTAATTTACTAATTACTAATATTGTTTGTGTTTTCTTTTTCTTTATATATATATATATATATCTGCATGTTTTCGTGAATTTTTATTTTCAAGCTTTCCAAGCATGAGATTTTTTATTCATTTTTACGAATCTGCGGCGTTTGTTTTTAACAGCATCGAGATCACGACATCGTTTGGCGAATTTGAAATTTTCTTTCGAATAAACACCTTATGTTTTTCTTTTAAAATTATATTTATCGAAATATCTTCCCCTAACACGTTACGTATAATACGCTCGTTTCGAATGATTATACAATATTCGTATGATTTCGTTTCAAAATTATCGGATCGAATAAAATTCAACTCTCGATAATTTAACATCCCATCTCACTTGAATAATGCATCGAGTGAAAAGTACACACGGCATTGGTTATAATACCAGCTGTCTGCCAGCCAACATGTCCAACTGCAGCTTGTACACACCTTTTTCTCTCTCTCTCTCTGTCACACGATTATCCTTCGTAGCTCTTTAAGTCATTCACCGCACCGCCTCACTTCGGTATCTATCGATATTGGTGTTCGACTTAATCCCCTTAATACGATGCACAAGTATATATATCACACGCAATCCAAGAAGACTCTCTTTCGATGTTCACTGCTCTGCGCTGGATTGAAATAACCGAACAAAATAATGAATAAAAAAAAAAAAAAAAGCAAAACTCAATAAAACAAGCTTGAAAGAAAACTTGCTCCCCTTTCTTCGATAATAATTCTTCCTGTGGTGAGAGGGTTCACGCAAGGGGACGGCACGCAGCAACAAAACAGAGACGACAAAGCAAAGAACACCAATCGAAACTTTTATCCACAGACGAAACTGGCCTCGAGTATTTCCCTATCTCGCCCACATTGACACGGATCCGTGTACAGCGGAAAAACGGCGGCTCCTCGACCAAGTGTGCCGCAATTTTGTCGCGAAACGAGACCCCGTTAATCGATCGATACGCCAAGAAAATGGACGTTCGATCGACAATTGTTTCGGGGGCAAAGAGAAGAGACATTGCTTTCAACGATCCTCCTCGGTTGAAGATAGCGTCCAGGCCACCGTCCCCGCCAAGAAGACAGTCCTCCAGGAACAGCAAGACTCTCAAACTGTACGGAAACGCGAAACGTCAAACTGTGCACGATACGTTTAAGTCGAGGCACAAGCAGTGCTTTTTCAACGAACAGTCAACGTCCAACGTTGTCACGCTCAGAGAACGATTCTGCGGAGATTCTGTAGACGCGAAGAAAAGTCGCGAGACTGTGCACCCTTCCTCTTCGTTTCGAACGCCTCGTTCGAAAGTTTTGACACCGTCGTGCAAGAAGAAGACCGAGGACTCGCGTCTGTCGCCCGACTCGAAAAGTTTCTCGGCAGCCGATGGGGGCAGAACTCGGATTTATGGGGACGGTTCGTCCTTGTGGAGGCCTGGAGGCAGCGAACACTCCATCAAATCCGAGCCGAAACACGGGCTGGACGATAAATCGTCCTCCATTTTGAAGATGTCCTCGAAGCACGTGTCGCCCTCTGCGACGAGATCGACGAAAGAAAAGTTGGAGTGCAATGGAGTAGTCGGTAATACAGTTTCTCATTCGAGGAAAACTAACGTCAGAAGGCGGTTGACGCGGAAGGAACAGGAGGAGTCGTCGAGAAGATTAGCCAGATCGTCGGTCGATCTACTCTCCTCGATGGAGAGTAGGAAACGTTTGCAAAAGTGTGGGGAGAAAGGTGATGTTCGCACGACTGTGCTGCCCTCTGGAACGCTTGTCAAAAGCTCGACCATGTTGTACTCCTCGAGTTCGAGCAGCGGCAGGCAGAGGCCGCCACGGGACAAGTCTTTGAAGGTCGTCGTGACGGTGTCGTCCAAAGGACAGGAGATTTTGAGGAAGCCTTTGGACTCGATTCCCGCGGCAAAGTCTACCTCTTCCTTGAAATCATCCTCGGCCACTTCTTCGCCGTCGGTTGTACGTAGAACGGATCCCAAGAAGCCTAGGACGATAGTCGGGCAGCCTGACAAGATGGGTTCCAGCAGAGAGTTCACGTCTTCCTCGGAGGCGATTAGCGAATCGAGTAAGAAGAAGAGGCAGAGACCTCGCACTATCGTGAGATCTCCTGCCAGGAAGCTGGAAACCATTCGGATTGATCCCGACAAGAAGAAAATAGAAGCGAATAGGAGATCGAGGAAAGTCGAGAATGGCGATAAGACGAAGAAATTGAGGGATGACGAAACGATGGAAAGTGACAGAAAAAGTAACATAGAGAACGAAGAGCCTAACATCAGGCATATATGTAAATCGAAACAGGACCAACGATCTTCGTCGCTGAGCGTCGTGGAAGAGATAAAGAAGCATGGCACTCGTTCCGACACGTTTTTCCAAAATCTCTTTTTAAGATCCATTTCTTCGACTGTTTCCAGTGAAAATGTCCCTTGGAGAGGATCGAACATGGTCAGCGAACGAGCCAGGATTTATCAAGAGAACAGCAGAGAAGGTAGCAAGTCGGAGCCGTCCTTGAAGTCTCTCAGCATCTACTTGGCCCACAAGCGACCGGTGTCGAACTCGAAGTTCAAAAACTGGGAGAAGGGGAGTATTTCTTCCAGAAGTTCGAGCCCGTACGGGGTCAGTTGGCCTGGCAGAAGCATGTTTCAAAAGGTGAGCAAGTTCGACAGTCTTCTTGGCATCGAGGACTTTGGATCGTCGACATTGCGCGACAAAAGTCCAGACCCTGTGAAAGAGCGTTTCAAGGAGAGGAGTTTGAGCGAGCCACCTTTGAAGACCGAGTGTTCCGAGCATTCGTCTTCGCGCGCTTCCTCCCCGATCAGATCACCAGCCTGCAGGCGTATACGTAGCTTGAGACAGGATGGGCCGAGTACCATTGTCGCGAGGAAGGTTAGAGCCAGGAGCGCCGGCGAAGCAGAACAATCGCGGAAATTCGGATCCGATTTGTCCCTGGCCAGAAGCACGAATTCGCTTTGCGCCTCGCCGATCGATCGTGAGGAGTATCATCGATACGTAGTTGGTATGTCGCACGACAGGAGAAGATCAGAAAGATACAAGGAGTTGTACGACTTCTACTCGAGTCTGGAGAGGTTAGGCGAATTGGAGAGAACGTTTTCCTCGTCCGATTTGAGGCCAAGAGTGAAAAACGAAGAGATAATTGATTACGACAGATGGAAGAAGGTGAGATCGCAGGAGAAAGCCGAGGTTGAACTTGGCAGTTTGTATGGAAAGTTGAAGGCTGTTCAGAAAGAGAAAAACTTTTTGTTCAGCACCAAGGATATCGGCAAGTTCAAGTGGCACGGTGATTGCAACTTGAGGTGCAAGGAACGATCGGTGGAGAACATTATCCAACATTTCAAGAGACTGCAATCCGAAGGAAGCGAATTGGATTCTTCGAAAAGAAGAGAAATATCGTGGAGGAAGGACACGTATAAACCCCTTTGGCGTGGCACGTCTGTGATAAACGTGGCTACCACGATGCAAGTGAAAGCGAATGGATCTAAAAACGAGAGATGTTTGGATCATTTGGATCACCCATCGTTGCAAAGAAGCCTCGGAGGAAGTAAAAAGTTCTGGAGCAGTTTGTCCATCGAGCAAGTGGCCACCTTGAAGAAGCAATTAAACGAAATTTATGGCAGCGATAATTTACAGAGATCATCCGAAATAGGCGAGCATAGACGGGAAAAGAAGGAAGGAAGTGACAAACAGCAAGATTCTCTGTCCAAGTACGAAATTATCGTTCCACCCCAAATCGACTCGACCGATAAAGACGACGCCAAGGGTCTTCACGTGCGATGTCACTCGATGATTACGTCTGATGCTTCTCCAAGTGATCAGAAATCGTTTACGGATCGTGCAGAATCGTTGAGGAGAAGTGGTTCTATTAGCCGAGGTAAAAGTATGGAAGGAAGATCTGACAGAAGCGTAATCAGTGTTACGTCATCTATGAGCGAATTAGAGAGGAAGAGGCTCTCCGTGACGATCGGCAAAGAAGTTCTGGACAAAATCTCGCAGAGAAGGCTGTCAATGCCATTGACAGCTCCCCGCGAGACTCGAGGTAGCATAGCTGCTGCGCTTGCCGTTAAAAAGATACCGAAGATAACACGTTCCTCGACCGCGCCCAGTGTAACAAGCACCTCACCTAGGAGCTGTTATTCTTTGGAACCGCAGAGCGCGGAAGATTCGTCGAGAGTCAAAGAGAAGAACGATTTTCTCCTAGTTCTGACACCGAACAATAAAAGCCCGTCGGACAGACGCAGAGTAGAGAACGTTTTAGAGGAGTGGTCGAAGAAACCACCTCTTCTGGCGATCGCGATGCCCGACACGCCTGATCAGACAAAAACTGTGGCCCCTAATTCGGGCAGCGAAGGAAACAGCACGACGGAGAGCTCCGAGACGTCTGTGAGGACTGTCGTTCAACGAAATATAGAATCTCAAGATGTTCCAGCGAAGATAGAGTTTTTCGAGAGCGTGGAGAAGAGCGCGGATACCCAGCAGTCGGATCGTGGAAAAAGGAAGAATAAAAAGGAAGAGACGAAACGGAAACCGGGAAGATTATCCTCTTCTCAAAGTTTCGCCGATTTGAGGGAACTCTTTGGCGAGTCGGAGGCCGGTAAATATGCGTTGTCCGGGTGCAGGACACGCTCGATCTCGCCCAGAGCAATGTCTGACAAGCGAAAAGGAAGCAGCCCTGCTCGGGAAATGGACACCAATGCACGAACGCACTTCTGTTCACGCGACCGTGAACACGATAGGCCTCGCAGCGTCAGTCCGTGTCGCGTAACCACTCGATCGAATTCATCCTGCAGTCTGGAGAGCATTTGGCTTCGTAGCTCTTCACCCGACCCGGACAAGTATTGGCGTGCCTATTTGAAACTAGTAAAAAATGGCACGGTGAGACGACTCAGGGCCAAATTCGAAAGCGCTGAAGATCTTCGTGGCAGCAGAGTCAGAGTGGTTCCAGCGCCTAAAAAATTTCAAAGCGATCCCGAACTAGCCAGGTGTCTTTTGAGAAAGGTGGACGAGGGCAAATTGAAGCCTCACGAGTTCGCAGACGTGGCTTGGTTGCGGCGAAAGTACGAGCCTCGAAGAGGTAGAGCGCGTCGCAGAGGGGAATCACCGCCGATCCCGCGTGTGCCGTTGAGAAAGGAGGATCTGTCCATGCCTCACATCGATGTTATCAGCAAAACGGCGGAATTGAAGGATTCGTCGACTGTCACGTCCACTATTACGAATTCCGTGGCCAGAAAGGCGGAGACTAAGGAATTGGAAGCGAAGAAACCAGTTGGTCGAATGAGGAAGAAGTTCGAAAAATTTGCTACGCAAAAAACTTCGATTCTGGGTGAAATGTTCACTTCGTCGCCGGACGTGCACGAATTGAGAGACATTGCACCTTATTTGGCTGGCCGTTGGGTGGCGCACAGGTACCCCAGTAGAAGGGATAACATGCGTTCATTGTCTTCGCCGCCAGATCTCGCTGGTAGACCGTGTCCCGCCTCGAAAAGCGAGGTTAGCTCTGGATCCACGAAAACGCAGAGCAAGGAAGGAGGTAAATTGATTGGAAAAGTGCGAGGTGTCTCGTCGAAGGGACCGTCATCGATTTTGAAACAGTCTGACGGTGATCAAACGTTTGATCCTGATAAGCACAGACCGAAATTTAGATATCAACCACCTCCTCCGCCATCCTCGCCGAACGTTCGACGAAAAGCCACGTGTTGGTGGTCGCCGATTCCTATCTACACGGCTCGACCTACCGTCACTTTCGAAGGTCTGAATTTTCATAACGTAACTTGAGATTCATCCTATTTTTTTGAATTTTTAATTATATTATTGTTATCAATTAATTGGTTAATCGGAATTAGAATGAGTTAAAAATTTTATTTAGAATTTTTCGATAGAGAAAAATTGTGAAATTCAGCAACAAAATATGAAACGTAGCTACAAAATGAAAGAATACGTTTACATTATTATTTTATTGTAACGAACAATCAGAATATTATTCATTTCGTTGTTTATCGAATAATCGATTAGAGAAACATTTAGCAGATACATACTTTTAAAACTTTACAAAAATTTTCCTTTTCTTCCTTTATTTTTTAATCTATTATTATTAATTTATTCATAACAAGCATACACCGTTGCATTTAAAGAAAAATCAACAAATTCCATGGAAGAGAATCGAAAAATCTCTATCCTTCTCTTGTCTTCGAATTCATTGTACTCGAATGATTTTCAAAATACAATCCCATTGTCGACCGTTTCCTCTTAATCGCATCGCTGGAAAAGTAACTGGTTGCGGTGCACCAATATCGATTGATCGCCGAAGCAAAAGAATCCATCCCATTAACTCAAGAAACAGCGTTCAAATGTTCACAGTGAAACCACGTTGCCAGGTTATCGTTTCATGATAATCGTAGTGCGGCTAATTTATTATTTTTCCTTTTTTTTTTCGGCTCGTCCATAGAATACTCGAACGCACCCCCGCCGCCGCCAAAATCTCAGCACTACAGAGACGACTGCCAAGGTAATGCCATATGCTAATCATTTTCTTTTTTTTTTGATCCATTTACTTTTCGATTCTTCATTTTTCTTTCGTTTTCATATTTTTTTTTTATTCCCATTTCATAATAAATTATTTATTTAATGCAGTGTTTTCTATCACGATTATGATCCTCAAAGAGGTTAGAAAAATCGTATATAGTTATTTTTATAGAATTATGCATTTATTTGTATAGGAAATTATATAGAAGAAAATTCGTATCATCGATTTAAAATCGAACTTTAAATACGATCGATAAATATATTAATGTTTTAATATTTTTATTCTAGTATCACGAGATATTTTTAAAGAAATTTGTTTAAAAAAATTTCTTTCGTAATTACGTACAAATTTATTTTTAATTGATTAGTAACATACGCATTTAATATTTTATTTTTAAAGATTTGCATAAAAATTGATATAAATTTATTTTAATACCACGTTTCCAAAAACGTTGGAAAACATTGCATTAACAATTTTCGAAAAAAGAATCAATCCTAATTTTTAAGCGATTTTCGTTTTCCCTTTTCGTTTTTCCCTTCTATGTTTAAGCTGTTTAAATATTTTTTCGCGGTATATCGCTGCTTGAACGAAACAGAGCATGAAATTTGCTCGTTGTGCATGACATGAAAAGCAATCGTTTACATTAGAGGAAGCGTGCGATTGTTTCGCAACGGATCGAGCAACGGATTCGATTACGAGAAAAAATCGCAGATGAGGTTAGGTGGCGTGCAAGCATTGTTATATACGTGCATGATCGTTCATAGTTTGAAGGTATAACCTGTGCAAGTGAGCAAGTTAACGAGATTTATCGTAAAGATATTGCATTTAAATTATCGTCGAAATAAATTCATTGCGCGAGTAAATATTATTCAGTTTATTTAAATGTTTGGTGTAATAAATACATGTGAAGCTTTGAATGGATTTACGAAAGAACAAGTGACAGTGATAAAGTAAAGGTATCTCATTGCATGTTTATTTAATTTATAATTAAGGATTTATAATCGATGAATAATTAAATACAGATCTGGGCGAATTTTGTTTCAAATAATAATTTCAAAACAATAATTTTTAATTTTAATAAATTTATTCATTTTGATGAATAATTATATTTCAATTGAGGTTATGTTCTTTATTTTGTCAATTGAAAAAAATGTGATACATACGTAAGACGAATATTAGAAAAAATAACAAATCAAAGAATTGATTATTGAGGAAGTAACGTTTATTTTTTAATGAAAAACTCACTCTCGAGATAACATTTCAAAATATTAAACAATAATCATAATAAGTGTGTAATAATGTTAATCGGAAGTTATAATAATGTAAACATTTGATGCTACCGATATATTAAGAAACTAGTTATTTTTAAATCAAATAATTTATTTCGTGAAACATGAGAAATTATTTCTCAAATAATTTTAAAATGTAATTTCAAATTAATATAATTTGAAATTTCTAATACGCCCAGATCTGATTGTATGTAACATGTGTAACATTGTGATTTAATTATGTGATATTATTAAAATTTTAAATGTGTTTAAAATATCGCAAAATGAATTAATGAGATTTTCAAATATATATATATCGTCTATTATACTTCATTACACGAATTAACATGGGAATTAATGGAATACAGTGAAAAGGGGGCAATCGAGTACAAAATAACGGTCGTGTTTTATCATTCAGTTAACCGATTGGTATGCTTCTCGTTTCGCAACCATACGAATGCAAATCTTATTGCGCTCGATTAAGTGACCGATGAAAGTTTGTCACCTGCAGTTACGAGAAATTATAGTACATCACAAAGTTGTAGATGATAGATGCTCGGCGAGTTGAAAAAGTTTCAACGAGTTATCGATACGTTCAAGTTGTGGAAAGTGTAATGGTTTCCAATAACGAATTTCCTCTATTTGAAAATGTGATAAATCGAAGTTACTGTATAAAATTATTAACTCGATAAATCGATCGAGTGAAAAATATAAAAATTTAATTATGTAATTATAATGGATCATCAATATTCAAAAGTTCGAGATTGAAATAAATATTATTTTTTCAATCATCGATGAAATTATCATTGACAGTACGTATAAATCATTTGATATTAATAAATTGTTGAAATCGTTCGTGAACTTCGAGTAGTTGTGGGGTGAAAGTTTGATAATAATGAAATTTAAAATAAAAATACAAACATAAAGATAAATATATCTAACAAGAATAAAGATAATATTAAGATAAAAATATTTTTACAAATATTACACGTAATGAAATATTTACATACGTAAAGCAATACAATATATTTTTTCCAAATAATTTTCATATATCATAAAATGAATTCCTATGGTCGATCATTTTTCGTTTTAAAATTTAATAAAATTATCTCTGTTAACATATGCCGAGGATTATTTAAAATTCCTCGTATCTGAAATGTTATTTCACGAGTACTTAGTCTAATCAAAATGCTTTCCACGAACAAAGAAACTGATAGAATTGTGTATTCACTGATAGAGAACAATTGCCACTTTGAAGTCAGGAAATTGTTTAAATTGCCACCACATGTATATCGAGCAGCGACAATTTTAATACAAATTTATTTACAGAAAAAAAGAAAAATATTTGTCACAGAGAAAAATAATCGTTTCACAAGTTATCTATTATTTGGTGGGGGACCAAAAATAGAACTGAAAAAATAATTTTGTATCTCGTAACATTTTCTCTTCTGGAAATATACATTTGGAAAAAGATAAATTGTTTTCAAAGTAAAAGTAGAATTTAGAGAAGTCGTATCGTGTGATATATATCGGAGAATATATTACAAAATATATTTATCGTCAAAAATAAATCGATAATTTTTATTCTATATCAAAATATGATAATTTTAATAATACAATTGCATATGCAATTATTTCTTCATTTTAGATTCTTAAAATATTAAATAAAAAATTTTAATTAAATACGTTTATTTTTAGCCAAAATATTCCATGCAGCAATTATTTAATCATACGTTGCAATCTCAATATAATACTATAAACACATCGATATTAAAAATTGTTAAATATCGTAGATTTTTTTTTTTTTTTGCAAAAAATTACACACATTCGAGTCCATTCATTCGCACATTCATCGACTTGACGCTACATCGCGTATTTTTAAAGTTTGCTCTTCATTGAAATCATCTTCCTTTTCCATGAAAATTAAATCACTGTACAACACCGATATCGATTGTGTACAGAGATTTATCTAATCTTTGACGAGCGTTTATATCGGCACTCCTCTGTGACATTTTTATAAATTCGAACGTTGTTTTTCGTTTATTGCAATCTTCGGTTTTTTTTTTTTTTTTTTTTTTTCCAAGCAAACAGTCTTTATCTCTTTGATTATGAAACTTAAATGCAACTAAACACGTAATGGAACATAAGGAATATTTGTTCAGTGCGATAGATTATCGGTGATAACGAATATTTGCGCATAAAATATTTTTATTATAAATAAAAAAAAAACAAGGAAAATTTAAATTCGTTTTTTAAAGATTCAAAGAAAGATGAAAAGTTTAAATTAAGTATTGAGATATGAGTATATTAAAATGCATTGTAATATTTTGATAGAGACGAATGAAATGGCGACATTGACTTTTAGGATTCCAAGGTAGAAATTTACATAAAGACCCAAGTGTCAGAGGTTACTGGGATCCCCATGCAAATGTGAAAAGTCTGTAGACAGATGGATGTCTGGAAATTTGTGAAATTTTACGATGCATGTAATCTACGTATAAATTGAAAATTGTCGCAAATCTCGTATTCATAAAATATTAAAATAACAATGGTCGGTGAAAGAGGTTGCACGAGTGTGTTTATGCGCATCAGATGTGTATTAAAATTGTAAATGGACGTTGGACGAGCATGAAAGGATATTTCCGTGCTCTGCTCGTATTATTAACATGCAATTAGTTGCAAAATTAGTTGCGAGTTATAAGATAGCATAGTTTCGACGTTAGATGCGATAATTGCTACCTTATTCCACGGTATCGTGTACTGTAGAAAGAAAATAATATCGGCGAAAGTCGAGTTTCGTGCACGCAATTTCCAAATTTAACGCAAAATTATTTATTTTTATCCGTTTCGACACTCCAAAATATATAAAAACGATCTTCAAAATATTTTCCTTTCGTTATCAACGTGTAACACTTTTTCTCTCGATATAATTCGTTCATATTTAGTTATCGATATATATATATATTTTCGTATGATAAAAGAATTGGAAGTTTTTTTATATCGTCAAACGGTATCCATTTTTAAAATTCGTTCGCACGTAATTCGCATGAAAAAGAAAAAGACGTTTTACGTAAGAAAAACGAAAACGTCTCGATGAAATTTTTAATCATATTACATATAATTCGTTGCAATTTCCACGACAATCGAGTATTCATTCGCATAATTACAAAAAGATAGAAAGAATAATATTACACGTAAAAAGAAACGACAGTCGAGGAAATTCTCATGAGAGTATCACTGAAAGACGTACATTGCGTTGGTCGTGCACGCATGTCTGACCTTCGCGGAGAATTCGAGTGTTTGGTGGCAAAAATACGAATGACAGAAGGAAACGTAGAAGGGGAAAGGAGCGCGAAAAGCCGCGGCGAATTCGCATTACCGACAGACGATCGCCGCGCTCGTTTCATGGCAGAGGCCTCCTCGTAGTCGAAAAGAATTACGCGACATGCGGATAATTTATTGGAACGATTATGTACACATCTTGTCACGTTTCTTCCATTCCGTTTTTTTTTCGTCGTGCCGTTCGTCGGTGAAGTTCGTGACGATCGAAATCGTCTTTGATTAAATTTTCGAAAAATTTGTTTTGCCATTCGGTGGAATCTTCGATAAATATTTTGAAGAATAATGTTGAAGTTAGGTGTTTTAAAAATTAAATTTGCAAACTAACGCGAGTGTTAAAATTAAATGTGTTTATTTCGAAATATATCGCGAAAG